CAAACTTTTTATAAATTCATGTAAGGTGCTCTGGCTGGGTGGGTCAGTTGGTACGCACATCATCGCTTACACCAAAAGTTTGCAAGTTCGATTCCTTATCAGGGCACATATCTGGGTTGTGGGTTTGATCCCATGTGGGAGGAAACCAATTGAATTTTCTCTCTCACATCATTGTTCCTCTCTCTTCCCCCCGCCTTTGAAAACCAATAAGAACATACCCTTGAGTGAGGATTAAAAAAAACTCATGTAAGGTAAAATATACACATGCATGCACGTATGCACATAAAATTGTAAAGAAATGTAATTCTCTTGACAGCGTTAGCATCAAACAAATTATACTACATATGAAATATGTTTGAAGTGCAGTATGAGTTCTACTGCAGAAAATAACAATATTTTCTGATTTTTTTCATGGTCATAAATATCAAGAGTATACTAAGGAAAAAAACTTGAAAACCCTCCCATAATCCCTCCCTGGCTTGCCAACCTCCCGCATCCCTCCCTGGCATCGATCAAGCACCAGTGGGGTTTCTCGGCCTGACCTGTGCCCTCTCATAATCCAGGACCCCTTGGGGATGTCAGAAAACTGGTTTCAACCGATGGCAGAACAACTGGTCCTATGACACGCACTGACCAACAGGGGGCAGACACTCAATGCAGGAGCTGGCCCCTGGTGAGCAGTGCGCTCCCACAGCCAACCTCCCCGGGCCAACCTCCTGTAGGCCCTCCCCTACTCCTGCTGACCAGCATTCCATGGCCCTCTCCATCTCCCCCACCTGGCCAGCCCCCCATGGCCCCTCCCCTTGGCCAGTCATCCCCCCATTGGCCTCAATCACTGGCCAGGTCAAGGAACTCCACCGGTGCACCAATTTGTGCACTGGGCCTCTAGTGTACTAATAAAAGTTGAAAAACAAAAGAAAATTAAATTTTTTAGTTTTAGTGTTTATTGTATAAAGGGTTTTGGAAACCTATATATTTTTTTGCATAGCATTATAACATAATGTTGAATATTAAGACTTTATTTTAATGACTTTAGAATATTGCTTTGTGTATATGTTACATGCATCTTTGTATGTGTATATTTCTTTGATTGCATTTATAATTATTTCTTTTGGATAAGTTACTAGAAGTGGTATTATTTAGTTTAAAAGAATAAATCAATTTGAGGTTCTTTTTTTTTTTACCTTTGCATTTTTTTTAATTTATTTTTTTATTGCTTAAAGTATTACAAAGGGTATTACATATTTGTCCTTTTTTTTTCCCCGCCCTTGACAATCCCCTGGCCTCCCCTATCCCCGAGTGTCTTATATCCATTGGTTATGCTTATATGCATGCATACAAGTCCTTTGGTTGATCTCTTACCCCCCTACCTCCCGCCCCCCCACCCTCCCCGGCCCTCC